GAGGATTACTTGAAGGCGAAAATGTATGATTTGAATACCACATGAAACAGAATGTCGTAGGCGCCTCGGGACGATCTCTATCTCTCCACATGAATCTCCACCACATTGGAAGTGTTTTCTGGAAACTATGAACTAAATAGTATAAGTAGAAATTGGGCAAAACAAAACAAATGCTTACTGATAAACATTCTCGTAAAAACATTATGCCGGTTTTCGAGTATTTCCCTGAAAAAAAACAGCTCGTTTGCTTCATAGTCGTATGACAATGTTAACAAACAGCAATTGCTTGTACGTTTGAAAGTACTGTAAACATCAGCCAGCTGACAAGTATGTTTAGCTTTGACACATAAACACTATCAGCTGACTCTCGGAGAAATATGAAAAATTGGGTCTTATCAAAATTTGGAAGAAACGGTACCTTGGATAGTGCATTTTATTACTCGTCGTCATTATCAATCATCTCAAGGCCTATTATCACAGGCTTATAGCTTATATTACTACCACTCCTTGAATCAGGCTTCGAGCTTACGTTAATCCACTGTTTGAGTCAAACGTGCTCTTATATAACCTATATAGCCGAAACAATTTGGAAGGATCAAGTGGTTACTATGTCATAAATAATGCCATGTGTTTCTGATCTCTGCGAGTTCCTCAATTCAATTGTTGAGTGAGCCTCTACAAATCCAAACTTTTTCCAGCGTTTTTCTTTTCTTACAAACTGAGAAATATGAAAGCTCTTTGTGATGGCTTCACTTTTGAAGGTGAAATGACGCTCTCATCTGCGCTCGAACGCGGATGCTTTCACCAGCGAAGGCGCAGCTTATAGCGAGCAATGTCGCACTGCGCAACAGGTTCTCAGTTGCGTTTGGTTTCTGTTCTCCTATACGACTGCAAAAACAGCAAATGACAGGGCGGTCGGTCCAGTAAAGCCCCTTTTACTCGCGTTCCACGCAATCAAACAATGAAACTCAAAGTAACTCATCACAGAAAACGGTAGAACTAAGTTACAATCAGCACGTCTTTTATTTGATTTGTTTTATCGTACCCGTCAAGGCTTTGGATTTCCATGTTAGCTTGGTCACTGTTTGAGATTTACTTTGATTTGTAGATGCCGAAGAAATCTGTTCGAGTAAATTCTCTATATAACGTTAGAGTGTCAGTCGTTTACAAGTCTTCAGCGTAAGCACTCACTGGCTCGATTTTCATGCAGCTCAAAAGCCATTGATTTTGCGTCCACTTCTGACCATTAAGCTTCAAGCACCGCCAGATGTATTAGAGTGGCGATCTTTTTGGCGTGAATACTAAGACAGAAGTTAAAGCAGCGGAATTGTGAGATATAGCATGATCAAAACAGGTATATAATAAATAAAAATTACACAAAACTAAAGCGAAACTCCGTTCAACTAAATTTTAAGGTATATCTGGTTCAAAAAAAAGCACCTTTTGAGATATCTGGAAACTCAGAACCTTTGAAACACCTCAGTTGACCATTAAATTGTCAAAATGAACAAGCTAAAAAATTCCACATATGTAGCACCTTTACAATATCACTTGCAGTTAGAACAATCATCGCAAATTTGACGATTTCGTTTTCCTTAGAGCCGCCAAATTACTTATATGGGTAAGGTCGGTGTTTTATGACACACTGTGAGAAGGAAAGCATCTCCGTGACAGGAGCAATCAAAAGGCAAACTTTCGCTGGCAAGGGTACCACAGTGGTTTTGTTTGCTTACGAAGAACAACGTCTTGCGTTTCATTGAAAAACTTTGTGAGAATGTCCAAGTATCTATTCAGCCTTCATTTCATTTGTGAGTTTGACACGCTTAGAACCTAGCTGATTGTAATATCTGCATCTTCAGTATACTAGATTTCTGACATAGTTACGTATAGAGCAGCGTCAGTATTCTGATTGCCAACAAAAGATGGAACTTTTAATCAAATTTTGCTGACTGAACTTTTGTTTTATCTAGCGTTGAGCTTTTCGAAAGTATGTTGAGGCAACAAGAATACAAGAATAACAACAAATCGTGAGACAAAGAAGTGAGCGTGATTCTTACTCCTCTGGCATTTTCTCATGGCATTTTTGATTTTTCGTAAGTCTCTCGGGTTTCTGATTTGCAAGTAATAGGTTGTGTAGGTTCGTGGCGTTTTGGTTTTCTAAAATGATTTTTGCAATCAAACTGCATGATTTAGTATCATTCAAATGCGCATTTTCTTGCGAACATGTTGGTATACACCTTGTCCATACTTGCTTTAAGTTGAATCTGTCTTGGGAACAAATCCACTGAATCTGTCTTGGGAACAAATCCACTTGCTACTCATGCACGAATGGCGCGTAGGGGAAGATGCTAAGCAACGCGCAAGATTAATGGAGCTTGGGCGATGATACGGTTGCAGAAAAGACGGCTAGGAAGTGGTTTATGAAGTTCAATACTTTCAATATGTTTTGTCTCTTTGTTGGAACAAAGTACTGCAGAACAAACCCACAAATCAAAACTGCGCGAACTACTTACACACCCCACTAGTTGAGAAATATCTTCACCATCCACTATATAGCCATGGAAAGAGCTGTGAGATCAAATTGGTGGAAATATTAACATATTATGCAAAGACTCTGAACTGCTAGTTAAATGTAAAACTTGTTGGATCTGTTGAATTTCACCTTTGGCATCTCTATCAGATTAAATCTTGGACTGAATCAGTTGATCCGGTCTTATGTTCATCACAAATCTTAGCAACTCGTTGTTAATTCCTTGATTTACGTCGTAAGTCCAAATTGAATAATCTAATGATGTTGGTGCAATGAAGCGAATTAGTGCTATGATTTCGCTCAAAAATAATAGTGTGATAATGTGGTAACATATTGTGCGCCTTTTATGAGGTTTTGTATGGCTATATAAACAGTCGAAGGTAAAGGTATGATTCATTTTACAGCCATAAGCGCTCGACTGTGGTCACTGCAATGTCGGAGGATTTTGGTACTCAACGTGTGGTGATTTAAATATTTCAGCATCGATTCCTTTATAATCAAGGATATATGCACTACATGAGATCAGCTCAATGGAAAGACACCGCGCCACTGATGAGCCTTCAAACGCGAATCAACTGTTTGTTACTGTATAGGCGACGTCAAAACCTCAAAGAGGCTCAAAACATGTCATGGGATTAACAAAAGAGAACATAATTGAAATTCCAAGTCATTCCTAGTTAGTCTACGATCAATGTCGATACGTTGATGATTCACTGATGTTCTTCATTTTCTTAACGATTGAAAACTTCCAGTTATGATTTCTGAAGTTCAAAACAAGAGCTTCAATTGCTTTCAAATTCAAATTATAAAACCTATCTAAAAGCGATCACTAAGGCAAACAAAATAAAGAAATTTTGGATATGAGTTATGCTATATCTTATAGTGTAATGGTATGCAATACTCCTGTTAGTCGCGGCACTAAAAGACGGATGAAGGCCATGAGATTAGCACATTTGGACGATATGACTCATATATATTTCTTACGTAACCATAGTTAAACATTCCACCTTAAAACAAGCCCATCTCAGCTTGAAATAGATCTGTTACATGAGACGAAAACCCAATGATATGCAAAAGTTTTGTACATCACTCTACATCATTGGGTATGTCTAGAACATGATACCACCGCTAAAAGCGGTTGAATAAAAAGAATTTCACTCGAGATTAAGATCTTTGAACTTTTAGATATATGCTACTAAGAGATAAGATCTTATTCCATGAGCTGGCATCTGCTCATCATAAAAATTTCTTAAGAACAAATTCCTGACACAAGATCCCGTCTTATACACCCAAGATGGAGCCGTATTTGAGACTCACGTATCATTCCGTCTTTGAATAACAACGTAACCTAACAAAGAGAACTTCTTCCAATCAAAGAAAAAAAAACCTAGCATCACTAACACTTACTCCATAGTTTTAAACTTTTTCTCGAGGCGGACGAACAATCCTCAAAAACTGTGTAGTCCTCTCGAGAAATGGAGCGAAATTGCCTCCAGAAATCTGTCAGATAGACATCCAAGTAGTCCAGTTATCGCAGAAACATGTTACAATTAGTGGAAAAAAAATACTTTCTCTAACCCGCAAAAGAATCGAGCAAAGGACTTCCTGCCTAATTCTAGAAACACCTGCGTGTAATTCTCTGAAGCACGTACTCACAAATATTTATTAAAATGACAGTATATGTGTTGGTCAACTCCGAAGGTATGCACCATGTCTTCAACTTCACCAAACATCATTTGAGGTGACTGAATACATATCTTGTCTTTGCAATGAGTCGCGGTGTACTGCGTACCAAGTCAGTGCTGCTACCCACCCGAAGAAGTCTGGTACCAAATCGCCGATCTCGCAGTGATAGAAGTTTGATGATTCTTGAGCGCGGCATTGAATCGTCGACTGTGTGTATGCCGTAGAGCACCTCTAACCACTGCATCATCCCATATAATCATATCGGTGCATATCCACGTTGTACACTCGCATGTATGAAGATTGTATACTATATTTATATGCAGTTACCTTCTCAAGCCAAGTGAGTGAGAAAGCATACGTGAAGTAGCCTAGGTTGCATACAACGAGCTTATCATTCAACGCAACAGATATACTTTAGAGAATTGAGTGGTGTGCAAAAACACGGCCTCAGGCGAGAACTGGACCCGCGTTTCATCCATGCCGGGGACGCGTGCTACTATCACTATACCACCAAGGCACATTTGCACCGCCACTCATTCTTCAACATTTCTGTTACCTATCAGCCACCACCCTTTAACAGGTTTGGCCAGGTGTGCGATTTCACATCATAGCACTGCGAAAAAGCAGTAATAATACTGGAATCTCGGAGTATTACATCAAACAGTAGCTGTCAGCTCAACTGGGTTTATAAAGTGAGATTGCATACCTTACCAAATCTGTTGAAGATTGGTGGCTGATAGCTAACATAGAGACGTTGAAGAAAAAATGGCGGTGTATATGTGCCGCCGTGGTGTAGTGGTAGTAGCACGCGGCCCCGGTATGGATGAAACGCGGGTTCGATTCCCGTCTGAGGCCGTGTCTTTGCACACCACTTAGTTCTCTTAGGTATGTATGTGACATTATAACACTGCGAAAAAGCAGTAAAATTCTACAATTTCGCAGTATTACATCTAACGCAACAAAGCAAGAATCGCAAAAGTGGGTGCACACTGATACAACCACAACAACCACAATGAGACTGAGATCAACGAAAAATCGTACTCGATTTGGGTAACCATCTCTATATTGTGTCACCTCCCAACATTAGGTTCACCGAAAGAGAAAGCTACAGCTTTCGATGTTCGAAATGCTAACCGATGGGCCGATCTCCTCTCTTCATCCAGTTCCTAATGATTACTCATAAGGCTTCCAAATGTTCAATTCACTATGTTCTCACCCATAAACAAGAGGCATGGAGATCTTTTAAAAAACCACGTTCGTAAAAATTACAACACTTAAGAAAGAGCACGTTCACAGCATATATTATCTTGCCCATCAATACATATAAATTTAACAAGAAACGACTGTATATATGAAGGATTACACGTAGGAGAAGGTAAACACATAGAACTACTGAGTTCTTTTGTCAATACGCGAAAATGAAAGATCTGCCATTTCCGGATGCCGTCGGATGTCAGGATGTCAATTTAAAACTTCCGGATGTTGCTGAACGATCATATCACTGACCTTATTCACCTGCAAACATTCATATAAATAAGATATACAATATTTCAGTTATGGTTCATAAATGCAAGCAACAATGAGTTCATAACTATAATATATCGAAATTGCAAAAAGCCATCAAAGATCTGCTCAATGCCAGTCGGTAGGTTGGATATGTCGAATCACAAACGCCAGTGGGAGTCTTGTACAGATATGGTGTTACTTTACCGGTTCATGCGATCACACTCTTTTAGTTTTAATCTTTTCTTCGTCAGGCGGATCCCACTACTGCAACATTTAAACCATTTCCTCGCGTTCATCACCTGATTGAGGATTTCTCTTTTTTATAAACGTCGTAGAAAACTGGTTGAGTACAATCCTTACAAACTCGGGAATGGCCAGACTGAGAAATTCCTTAGGACGCTCGTTTGCCGAAAAGTGCCGGAGGATAGGGGAATAATCCGAAGTCGAGTTGCGTCGACCATCACTTGGCACTCGGTGACAAGATAGGGTATTGAAGTAATAAAATTGTTAAGAAAAACGGTACACATATGTTATTCGGGAGCAAATGAGGGAACGACATATTGCGGAACAGTAAATATTCATAACAGTGTTAGCAATCGCTTGAAAGCTGAAATCTCTGGCTACAGCGCTACGTGGCCTTTTTGCTTTAAAAACCTTTTATTAACACTGTAAAAGAAAGAAAATATTGGCTCAACACATGCGCATTTTTCGCAAAACAGAACTGCTCCCTGGAACTGTGAGTAACCATTCGATAGTGTAAGTTTCGGTGATTCTAACGCTGTATTTAATATCTAGAAATACCGTTTCGATGCAGTGTCGCAGGGAAAATAAAATTGAGTTCACATACGCAGGTACTTGTTTCCGGGTTAATCTGCGGGGTGGGGCAGGGGCAGGGGAGCTGCCCGTCGTTTGAGCACGGCGACCGATCGATTGCGTTGTTGCTTAACACATCTTATGTGTGATTTTTGCTATTTAAGTAGGAATTTCTTCTCCATTCTGGAAGAAACTCTATATAAAACGTATGATTCTGTTACTACATGATTTCCTCTAGATGTTCTTATGCTTTTTGTGCTTCCAGAAATAATTTTATTTTGAATGCTACTTATATATGGTCTTTTCGAAAAAAAAAGCATAAAACACACTAGCCAAAGACTTAAGCCTTTGAATGATTACTAACACTCTTAGGAAAAGATCTTCACCGGAACAAGTCGTTTCTTCATTTGTTCTCAAAGAACATACTCGAAGCGAGAAAACTCTAAACCTGCTGCTTGAAAAACAGTCTGATCAAGTATGAAGTTAGAGAAAATAATTCGAGTTATAAAATACGATCAGTTTTCAGCATTAAATCAATTCTAAGCGATTAAAAAATTGAGGATGCCTTACTTTTCTTGAAGTGTCCACCAATAATCCAAATCTACTAAGTAGCCATAGACAAGTTACAATGGGCCCGATTAGTTGTCACTGATTTGAAACGTTTTCCCGTGATTTTTCGCATTGTAAGACAATTAGCTAAGAGGGATCGATTATAATGGAACTACCAACTGACAGAACATCATAATTTGTTCGTCCCATAGCTTCAACGGATCACGCTCTGAAAGAAACACCAATTGTCAACACACCACCAAAAAGACACTGACTTCTACGGAACTATAGCTCTTGACAAACAAGCGGTTCCAGAGCAAAACCGGCTGCTTGGCGTTCGTCTGTATCTATTAATAACCAGATCAATAAAATTGCTTGTTGAAGGGACGTTTGTTCAACACACATAACACGCCTTCGAGTTTTCACTCGACAAGTTTGCATCACTGAAGAAACGTTGGAGAAAAACAGCGATCGTGTCAAACATTAACAAAAATATGACAACAAAATGACTCAGCGTGTTAACCGATTCGAGACCGAAGTTGATCGATCGCGCAGCGAGTGGTTCTCATTACTCAATTGGGGTTTTATCCTCGTCAAGAGATCAAAACTCTAGATTTTTCATAAAACTTTGATAGCACATAGATTTTTTGAAATCGTCCCAGTGTTTCGTGCACACAGAACTCTTATACTGAATACATAATCGAGTGTGGAGCGTAATCTTCTTTTCGCTCTTACACAGCTGTATGAAGATATTGCCATGAACAAAACCTATCTTCGCAAAGATTGAGATTTGAGACGTCAAATGAGTACTGAGAATCTAGTAAAAAAAAGATGTGTCCATCAGAAAAGGTTTTCAAGAAATCGTAGGGGGATTAGTCACTTTACGACATATCGAAAATGATGTACGTCGTTCTGCAAAGGTTATCAAAGACAAGAACTTAAACCAAAAGAGTAAGCAAATAAGTGTAATGCTGGAGAGGGAAGCAGATTTCACGCACAGAAAAGATGTCATTTGTAACAAAAAAAGGAAGATACGAATACAACGCCTACGTTCGAAATGGATAAATCCTTCCAACTGATCAATGTAACCCGTTAGTCGCTCACTCGAAATCATTTGTGCAACGATCTCCTCAGCCTAAAAATGCCTCAAGTTTAAAATCATCATTTAGATGCAGTAGCTGGAATAGATCGAAAGATCGACTCTCTCACTAAACCTTGGTATGAAAGATGCAAATTACCCCATGAGCTGCTTTTTTCTGAATATATTTAACCTTCAAATCGATGGCTAACGTTTCGGCAATTTGGCCTTCCTCAGAGCCACTAAACTACTTACATGACAGAGGTCAGCGGCATGTTGTCACACACTTTAACCCATTCGAGACCGTGAACCCACAGCCTGTGTATATCTGACTGGCAACTCTGCTCCACCTTTGTATCTCTAACCTCCAGCGTGCCAATGTTAGACGCAGCATGCTGGAGGTTAAAGGTGCAGACAAGGTGGAGCATACCGTCCGAAGCTGCCAGTTAGAGATGCGGAGGTCGTGGGTCCACAGAAAGGGTTAGGGAAAGTTTTTGCCTTCCTTTTTCATAGTGTGTGGCAAAACAATGACGATCTCTCTCTTAGGTAGTTGAGCGACTCTAACGAAAGTGAAATCGGCGACACGTTAGCCATAGCCTAGAAGAACTTAGAGTAATCTCGTACAAACTTCTTTTAGGAAGGACAATTCGTGAAATAGACGGATTATGAATGGCTCTTCTTCACGAGAAGTAATTCGAGTTAACACACAATTTTCACTTGGAAATTCTTGTGGAGCAAATTTTTGGTAGAGCTCTTTTCTCAGAAGTCACGGGATAACGAGCCAGGGCTATCGTAGTCGTCACCATAAGCATTTGTCGACCCTAGTAGATCGAAGGGAGATTAGTCACTTTACGACATTTGGCTACCCTCAACTGTAGCTTCCTGGTGGGGACGATCACCTTCTTCCTAACTTGAGTAACATTGCTGATAGGATAATCTCCGGCTGTAAAATGCAGTTTGAGATCTAGAATGGTCCCTAACCACAAAGATGCACTAAGGATCACTAAGGATAGGTGCAACCGGACGGATCAGAAGAAAGAATGCGAACTTCCATTTGGGATTACAGAAATCTTTCCTAACATTCCCCTAATCATCATCTCCGGGCTAGGGGCACTGCTCAATGTCGAACTGAGACTGACGTCAACACTTCATATCTGGTACGGTTACTCAAATTGATAATGAGTTTGAGATCCCCACACGTAAGTCTAGCTAAGATTAAACCGAGTAGATGCGGCATTATACGGAAAATAAGATGCCCTTCATAATCTTGATTGAGCGAATAAAACCCCGTAAGCAGGTCTGATAAGTAACCAACAGGGTAATTCTCTTTTGTAATGAGTTGACTGCAAGCAGTCCTAGCAGTTGCAAATTGATCTGGTAAAGAATGCCCCAACAGAAAAGTTGTCAATTCATTCTGAAAGATAATTACTGACCCAAGTGTAAAAATATTAACCCTAAAATGAAGAAAAGATAAAGCTGTTACTGTTGATCGAAGCCTGAGGGATGCGCTATGCATCTGACTGCATCAACCATTGTTTGAGGTGATTGGATGCATTACTGCCGTTTGCAGTGACTCACGGTAGCCTACCGACGTATCAAGTCAGTGTTGCTACCCTTCCAGGTAATTCTGGTACCAAATAATTAACCGACCCCGAAGGGATGAAAGAGCTTGATGGGCGCCAGGCACTGCAACGAACCATCGAAGACGTGTGTATACATAGCACCTTTAACCACTACGCCATACGCGCCCTTGTTGACCCTAAGAATTCCCTCAAATAGCTGTCTTGCACAGATCTTTTAAAGCTCTACAAGACAGAATACTCGTAGTATAGTAGCGAACTACACTTCAGAAGAATAAAGAAATGCACTGCTACCAAAGAATAAAGGAATAAAGGTCTACTCTATGCCA